TGTTTCCAGCATTGGGCAAATGCTATTCTAGCTGTAGTTAGCAGATGTGTTAATATGTACTTAATTTTCTTTATATATTGTTCTTGCCTTCTGGCAGCTCTGCGCATGCGCACACTGGGAACAGGTTCAAACTGTTCTTCTGCCTCGCTGATGTCAGACTCCAGAGGCAGCACATAACTACCAGATAGCCTTGGCCCCCTCTCTGCCTCCGACGCAGAGACCTCGTCCGAGCCTTCCCCAGACTCCAGAACTGGCCCATGTTCCTCCCTAACCTCCTCACTGTCCGACTCTGTTGCCAGCTCCGCAGGCTGCCGGCAGACCACAACACATGCAATGATTTTTTAAAAATTGTTTACCTGCCCCTGAGTAAATGGAAGAGGAAAATGTCCACCAACTCAAAATACTATGACAGCAGGAAAAGAAACTGCTAAGGGATGTGATAAGAATTCTTATCATTTTGGTCCCATATTCGGTAGCAAAATATTGTATATTTACTGACCTATAAACTTTTGTCCAAGCACACTCAGTTCCCCTACAACGCCCAAATTATTCATAAAAGACAAATCCTAGCATGAATAAAATTTGCTTACAATTTGCTGTTTCCCAGGGGAAGAAAGTCCTAACTGACCTTTAAAAATGTACAATATTCTGATTTCTTTGTTTTAATTTTAAAAAAATTAAAAATTAAAAGAATATTTCTTAAAAAACAAATAAAGTCTTGTCAGTCCTCCTGGATAAACTAGACATGGAACCAGATGAGCTAAATGTACTTTATTAGAAGGCTACATTAACTTGCATTAACTATACAAGAGGTTAGAACTGGCAGGAACCCACCCCTGGATCAGACGTACATTTACCATACCAAGCTAAAGGTTGTGTAATTGCAAAAACTAAAGCAGATTTGAATTCTTGGCACCTCACCTCACTGAAAAAAATTGCAAAAATTAATTTTCACCCATTTAAATGACACACCCTACCAATGGTACATAATGGGCAATACACACAGGAAGGAATGCACTAACGATGGTTTGCCTAGTATGCTTGCCATGAGCTACTTAGGAGTTGAAAGAGGGCCTTTAGTATGAAACTAAAGGCAGCAGCTCTAAGCTGACAGGAAGATTCTAATCAAAGTAATTAAACTGACAAAGATGAGATTTTTAATTTTTAGTTCACACTTTTTAGGGACATTCTGTACTGCAGAGAAAAGCTGTTCAGGAATACATAGGCTGTTTAAGCAATTTCTTCATCCTGTGGGTGTCAGGCCTCAAGAATGACATGTGGAATTACCTCTGAGTAGTTTCTTTATTCTTCTTCACTACAGACATAATCTTGCCAAGCCAAAATAACTATCTGAATAACTATGTACTCTGCGAACTATTAGGTAGGAGTCATTTTAACCCTCTTCCTCTTGACCAAATTTTCCATGCTCAATTGCCTCTTTGTCCTGTAGGAAGCAGCTCCCCTCTCTCCTGGGAATCCAGATCACATTCCACTACATTGGGGCAGGAGAGGGTCAGAAAAAAAAGGTTCACCCACAGGATGTGTACTTACTGACTATAACTGCAAGCACATGACATAGAGAGTGATGTTGCAAAGGATGTAATTGCGGACATTGCTTGCAAAATTATTGCATGTTTAAACAATGATTATCTGCATTCAGAAATCAAGTATGGGTCTGTACTGTTCCTAAATTAATGATATGCCATCCAGTTTGTATTGACTCTTAGCAACCACAAAGATAAGCCTTTATCTGGATAATCTAGTCCAACATGGCCTTTCAGGACTCCCAATGCCATTGTAATTGAGTTAATCCACCTGGCTACTGGTGGTTGCTTTCTCTTCCCTTCTACCTCTCCCAGCATTAGGATAACTGTGCCTTCACACAAGGTGCCCAGCCCTAGTACCAAAGTCTTGAGTTAGAACTCTGGATTGATTTGCTCTCGGATTCATGATTTTGGCTGCCCACAGTATTCTCAGCAGAAGATTAATCAATTTCACATAGTCTGCTTTTGTTTGCCTTCTAATCTCTCTCCCACCCTCTGAAATGCTCCCTACAATGCTGGGATAATTAACAAGAAAGAAATTAATTATTATATGTATTTTCATTGAATCCCAGGAAGGAAAGAATTACAAGACAGTAAGCAGGCACAGAATGGGGAAAACATCAGACTGTTTGTGCAGCATGCTCAGGGCTGTCAGCACCATTATGTTGCTTTCAGCACCATTATGTTGCTGTCAGCACCATTAGATTGCTTTTGATGTGTAGTGCCTGCCTACTCCAATTGCCTTATTCTCCAATTTTTCTACTCTGTAAGGTGAGAAAAAGGGGGAAATGACAGGTCAGGCACAGGACAACGCATATTGACTGCAATCACATGTTTGAAGAATGCTGCAAAAGTTGTAAATGCAGGTATTAGTTATATAAGTTATTTTTTCAACTTGTCATAACTTCAAATAGTCACTGAAGAAAGCAGTAAGCAAGCGAGGACTATCTCTACAATAATTCTTTGTTGTTTTGTAGTGATTGTCTGCAGCCAAATATAACAGTCCTAATTCATGGTAATTCCATATTACAGTCATCCTGAATGCAATGCCTTGAGAAATTTTGGATCTAGAACTCCTAAAATTTTCACTCATGTATGTGGTTAGCAATTCCAAACATCTGGAAATGATCAGATTTCAAAGGACTTCTGTAGTTTATCAGATTCAACAGGCATAAGTCTTAGCAAGAATCATAAAGTCTGACTAATAAAGCTAATGAAATTGGGTGTGTCAAAGATTAATCACTGGCCAATTTCTGTCCTTCTGAAATTCCATTTAGCTAATATTTATTGTGAACAATTAGGAAAAAGTAACACCAAAACATTTTCAACCAAATCTTAAACTTTTCACTATAAGCTCAGCGACCAAAATGTTATCAATACATGCACGGGTGGATTGCTGCTGGTTTTACTACTGATTCACAACCCCCGCGCATCAGATGCATGCTGCGTGAACGTGCATTATTCAATGTCAATTGTTCTTTGCGCATGCGCAGAACAATTTACAGTAAACTGCACACGTGCAGTCACTAAAATGTAAAATGGTGGCGGCCCAGCGGTGGTGAGGGAACCGGTTCGTGGGCGTGATAGGCCTGGGTTGCTGCCGGTTCTGCGGCCCAGGCCTGAATTCCACTACAGGTTCGGCTGAATCAGGCTGAACCGTAAGCAACCCACTTCTGGATACATGTTGTGGAATATTTCCAATTAACTGTATTGACAGCATATGCAAGATTATGACAAAATTATGTACCTG